TAGAATGGCACGTGGTGAAAAAAAAAAAAAAAAACTGATGAAGGAAAGGCAGCATTTTGTGCAAATGACAACTAGGATAATTTGTTAAAGTGTAAGTCTTACATTTTATCTCCTTGTGTTAAATCCACTGTCCATACCAAGCACAAGTAGAATAATATCCAAACCCATTCTCTACAAGCTTCTATGTAATCCCATCCCTACTTATGTCTTGGGCACCTTCTCGGACAGCTTTCTCCTTTGTTCAGTTATGTTGTAGTCACACTCACTTTTCTGTTCCAATAAGATATCAAGCTGGTCACTATCTCAGGACCTTTGCAAGGCTCCCTACCTGTATCACTCTTACCAGACTTAAAAGTCTAACCCTTCACTTTATCGAACCCTTACATCTGGCACCATCCTCCCTTCCATTATCCCATCTTCTTATCTCTTTAGGACTGTCACTCTCAGAAGCCTAGAACCTAAGCTGCACAGTAGCAGGGATTTTTTTTTTTTTCTGTCTTTCTTGCTATTGTGGGTCTAGTGCCTACTACAGTTCCTGGCACAGAGTGGATATTCAGCACATGTGAACACATCCACCTGACTGTTGTATTATTGCCACTCCTTTTGTGTTGAGTGCTTCAGAGGTTCCACTCACTGCTCTTCTCATCCTGAACTTCCATTTGGTCTTTGGCTCTAGGTTGGCAGTTCAGCATTCATACAAATTTTCGTCTTGATCTCTGCTCTAAATGGACTCTCTGGATACAGAACGTGACATCTCTTTGTTTTTTTCCTCCCATTTTCACTTTTTGCTGCTATTATCTTTACTTATTTGTGTCTAGAGCTAAGCAGCCCTTTTCTGTCATGGTGTTCATTATTTTATATTCTTCATATAATGGAGGAGCACAGTACCTTGTGAAACACATATTTTCCTTTTAGCTTATGCTGCATTGTTTTCAATTTTATGGTCTATGAGGGTTTCTAAAGTTTGAGTATGAACTACTTGTGGGCAGAGGCCATATCTTTTAAACTGTATTTCTTTGTACTTACTACGACATCAGAGCAGGCAAGAATGTGCTCTCAAGAAATATATCTGAATGAGGAGTATGGTTAACTCCACTGTTGTGTGGGCTAATGGACCAAGCATCAGGAGAGACAATCACAATCACATTTGGCTCCAGAGACACCTGTTGATCCTGTTATGCCTAGGGCCTGTGTCAGTCACAGGTGTATTGTATTTCGTAGGCACTTGATTTGCACTCTCACAGCACATGTAAACAAGCCTGAATCAAATTAGCCTCTATGCAGTTGTTAACAATTGATTGCAGAGCTTGAGAAAAAGAGGAAAAGTTTCTTATATATACCACGTCCTCCAGCCTGCTAGGACTGGAGCTACATAGAAAAGAGAGGAGAAGCGTAAAGAAGCACAGGTTTGAGCAGTGACGTCTCATCCAACCCTAGCAGATACAAACAGAAAGCCTGTATTCCATTTTGTACGCATTTAGAAGTTCAACTTAACTTTACAGCTTCCAGAAACAGAACTGGAACACCACTCACCAAAATGTAAGTTATGTCTGCCACGTTTAACATATTTGCGATAAATCTATTGCCTTCAACATTAGAGAATATTTATTGCATGAAAGGATAACTTTTCCTTGTTTGCTCACTCATCTAGTAAAGTTTAGCAGACTAGGTAAAACTTAAATTTTATCTTCAGTGTTTATTATAAAACTTTAAAGTACAACTTTAAAAAATATAAAACTTAACAATAGAAAAATTGGAAAATCTGTAACACAATGTTCTTTCTGAGATATTGTCAAATGCTTTGGCATAAAAATATTCAGCCACTAAAAATAAAATGTCATCCAGCAATGGAAAAATACTACAATATGAGAAAAAAATGATGGATAAAAAAAGAGCATTGCTGTAATGATTAATGATAATATGGCTTTTTATTTTAAGCACATGCAGTTTAGGAGAAAGCTTTCAGCATGTATAACATGTTGAAAATAAGTGTTCATGTGATTTGATCAAAGGACTCCAATCTTTGAGAGACAGTAAATAATACAGTATTTAGGAAATTGCTTTAAATATTTATTTCTTTGATTGGCTAAGATTGCTCACAAATTGCAGTACATTTTAGGTATTGTAAAAGCAAGTCTGAATAACACATGCATCTTAAAGATAAATAGGAGTGCACCACCATATATGTGCTAGAGATGGGGAAAATATTCTCAATAGTGATGATATTCTCAAAGGTGTTTGTAATGATTGACTCCTAAACAGTTTATAATGTTTATGTAATAATCTTTTTTATTAACCCTTATAGCTATTTTATGGGAAAAGGTGGAAGCAAGGCATCTTTTCAAAACGTTCTCAAAAAGTCTTCAATTTTTCTCTTTCTCTATATTTTTCTCAAAAATTAGATAATGCATGTGATTCTGTAGGGGGGTTCCATTTGAGATGTAATTTGAATGATGGAAACCTTCTTACACTATGAGTATCTCATGAAAAGGCAAGAAGTCTTGGTATTCAAAGAGAGTAAACGCAGAACTGTTCAAATATTACTTCCCTCTCTACTCTTTTGATCCTTTCATGTTTCAACAATTTTTAAAGGTGATTTAAACATTGGGGGATGCACTACCCCTGAGCACTGTCTGTTTTTAGAGTACTCATACTACGTAGTAACCTTTGACAATAAGCCATACCAAAGAAGAGATCTAGTATGAAAATCTCAGAAGTGAGTCCACAAATACACACCAAAAATAGTAATCTCCAGAGCTTTTAAAAACACGTATTCAGTTAAGAAAACTTAGAAATGATGTCTGTAATTAATCCTAGCCCTTTAAAAATGTTCTTCATTGATTTGTCATTCTTAAGATGAGCAAAGTAGAGGTAGAGACAAGAGAATGGAGAAAATAATGAAGAGAAAGAATCACTGTGTGTTTCAACACAAATGTAGTGCAGAAACTGAGGTATCTTTAGCAATGGTAACATTTTTCTACCAACCAAATAAAACCAATGTTATACTTTTAAAACAATTCCTTTCAATCTGTTGCTCAAGTAGCCTTGTTCATCACAACGATATGTAAATATAAATAAAAATGTAAGTATAAATGTGAAATTGGCTAACCTATGTTTTTCATTTAAGTTTATGGCCTATGTTGTTTTGTATATTTAATATAGTGTTTAAGATCAAGAACAAAATGTTTTAGCATGCCTTCCTAATGGAAATACCATTTATTGTTATATAATCCCCCTAGTATAGGACATATTGTTGATATTATAAATATTGTGACAATGAGGAGCTTTGTGTTGTGCATTTGCTTATGTCTCAAAAATATTTTATATTTCCCTAGAATAGAGTTCCAGAAATAGCTGATTTCAATTTTGTTGTTGTTGTTGTTGTTGTTTTGAGACAGGATCTCACTCTGTTGCCCAGGTTGGAATGCCGTGGCATGATCATGGCTCACTGCAGCCTTGACCTCCCAGGCTCAGGTAATCCTCCCACCTTAGCTTCCTGGGTAGCTGGGATGACAGGCACACATCATCACACCTGAGTAATTTTTGTATTTTTTGTAGAGACAGGCTATGTTGTCCAGGCTGGTCTCGAACTCCTGGGCTCAAATGATACACCTGCCTCGACCTCTCAAAGTGTTGGTATACAGGTGTGAGCCAGCATGTCTGGCCAGGTTATTGTTAATGAATCCTCTCTATGACTTTTAACTAATAATTCCAATTTCTATTCCAAAATAATCTTTATCATTGGCAGTGTATGATAGTACACACTTACTGGGTTTTTCTATGGTAGGCACTCTTGTGAATGCACTTTATATAAATTAGCACATCCAATTCTCAGAACAATTTAAGATATCCAGTATTATCAGGCTGGGCGTGGTGGGTCACGCCTGTAGTCCCAACAATTTGGGAGGCAAAGGAGGGTGGATCACAAGGTCAGGAGTTCAAGACCAGCCTGACCAAGATGGTGAAACCCCATCTCTACTAAAAATACAAAAATTATCTGGGTGTGGTGGCGGGTGCCTGTAATCCTAGTTACTTGGGAGGCTGAGGCAGAGAATTGCTTGAATCTGGGAGGCAGAGGTTGCAGTGAGCCGAGATCATGCCACTGCACTCCAGCCTGGGCAGCAGCACTCCAGCTTGGGCAACAGAGTGAGACTCCATCTCAAAAAAAAAAAAAAAAAAAAGATATCTGGTATTCTTATTATGGAAAAAAAAAAGAAAGACTTGAATTTGAAGAAATTGAACTCCAGAGATGTGATGTAACTGGCCCAAGGACACACAATTAATAAGTAGTAATAAAAGTACTATGTTTTGTGTCTTCCTTAATATTAGACAAAATAAAGATTATTTTGTGAAGTTAACAGGGGAATAATAGCTCTATGTTGTTTAAATCTCATTTAATTAAATGATTTAATTTAGTCACTGATCACTGATGAGACTACTAGTTCTTTCATCCTTTCTTTCTTTCACCTTCTCTTTTTTCTACTGGATTAGGTACTTACCTCATGAAGTTGTTGTGGGGAGTAGAATTAATATATGCAAAGGATTAGCCCAGTGGCAAGCATGATCATTTAGCTATTCAATGAATGATAGCTTTTAATACTCTTATTTTTAGCGAGTTACTGAGAGGGTTCAGACAAAAATCCAGAACCATATATTTGGTTTAGTAATTTTTTCTGTTATATAAATCTTTTTCTCATTATAAGTCAATCCTAATTTAGTATATTTGTTTGAATATATAATTGCTCCTAGAAGTAGCACAAACTAACATATAGTTAAATGTGATTTCAGGAATGGAATTGAGCAGTATTATAAACTGTTTAAATCTTTCATCCCTGGCAAAGAAAATATATTTTAGCACACAATGCAAATATATGTGTAGTTATTTATACTGTACTAACATATTTTATACTTATAAATATATAATGTTAACTTACATTATTTACATATGATTATAGATTATTCACATATAAAGTAATATTTTAAATAATTTTCCTATTTGTAAATATTACAAAAATACTTGTACTTTTGCTAATAAAATGTAAAATTATGTTTTGGGAATAGCCATATCAAATGTGATTAGATAGTCACAATTTTTACCTTGTATTCCAGCTGACAAGGAACTCCTAAGCTCCCAGTTTCTGTTTAATTTGCTTTACTTACATTACTTTCATTCTGTGTGGTTTTTTTTTTTTTTTAGAAACATTTTAGGCCATTTTTGAGGGTGAGATTAGTTAAAACTAGAAAACAAAATCTCCAAATCTATTTCTCTAGGCACCAGTAAACTGAAAGATATCCAGTTATGCTAGACTTTAAGAAATCCACTCTTTTCTCAAGGTATCTATATGCGGTAACATTTGACATCTGGACCAAGTGAAAAATGCCGATTTAGATAGTAATAATATGTAATTATAGTGTCACTTTTGTTTTAACTATTAGCCACTAAGAGCTTACAACCGTTTTCAGTGTTAGCAGCCTAGGAAGAAAAATACTCTTTTATCTTGTTTTCTGTTTATTGTATTGTCTACTACCTCTCAGGTTTTATAGGAGGGTATTCATAGCTGTTGCACCTGTGACTTTGGTTGTTCCTACTAGGTTATCTGCCTGGTTTCAACCAATTACCTGTCTATCTCTGGGCTTGAATCTGGAGGTTTATCTGTATCTTCAATGTGTAGTAGGTCCTGGTACTGAGTTAGTTGTTCTCTTTCAATGAACAGAAAAGTGGACTATGAAAATCCCTTAGATTGACTTTTATGTGTTCATATTTTCTGTCGTCCCATGAGCACATTTTCTCATAATGTAACACAAAGTACAGCCTCTTATTTCTACAAAGGTAAAGATTTTCACAGTATTTGATTTAGCTTTCTAATCTAACCCACCTGCTTTTTCTTTTCTTCATCTATCAGAAAATTACATACACACACACACACACACACACACGCACACACGATACTCAACAAACTGAAAAGCTCCAGTGATTCCACTTGTTTTATTAAAATATGCACTCACTAGCTGCCTTTCCATATATGACAGGCACGCACCACAGCTCCCACTTACCCAGGCCTACGAATTGCTAAGCCTGTGCTATGGTCTGACTGTATCCCCCAAAATTCATACGTCGAGACTTACTGATAGTATTAGAAGTTGGTGCCTTCACTCATGGGACAGAGCCCTCATGAATAGTATTAGTGCCCTTATAAAAGAGATGTGAGGGAGCTATTTGCCTCTCTGCCATGTGAGAATGCAATGTTCCTCCCATTTCGCCCTATTTCTGCCATGTGAGGATGCAACAAGAAAACCCTCACCAGACACCAAAAGCTGGTGCCTTGATCTTGAACTTCCCAGCCTTCAGAACGGTAAGAAATAAATTTCTGTTGTTTATAGATTACCCTGTCTTAGATATTTTTAAAGGAGCACAAATGAATAAGACAACCTGTCTTTTCCATTATACGTGCAGTGTTTCTCTATTTCACTGGGATGTTATTTATACACAGTTGCATATTTCTTCATTTTAAATTCTCACACTTATAACATTTTAAATACCAAATACATAATTAAAACTGCTTCTGTTGTCTCTATTAACATGATAAATATGCGTATGCATAATATATACACACATAGGTATAGATGCATAACATATAGTTGTATACATAACTGCATTTCTCAAGTGCATGAATGTCTAGATGGAGAGATTAAAGAGAATGAAGTGGGAAACAACATAAGTCAAGCTAGAGATGGCTTAATTTTGCGCCATTCGCACCTCTGCACAATCTCAACATTTTGACCACCATCTCCAGGTCTCAGGAGAGACCTGGCTATATAAAATATATCCAGGAGAGACCTGGAGAGACCCAGATATATAAAATATTTACCTCATTGAGAATTATATATAAGGGTTAACTTCTTAGTCTGTCCCTCTCCCTTTTTAGAATTTTTCTTTTTCCAAATTATAGATATATTTTGAGCCTACTGATAATTACATTCATATTTCTGTTTCCCGTGGCATTTATCAAGCATTGCACCCATTTTGTTCTCCTCTGCTATTTGCTGTGACTCTTCTCCTTGTCTGGTTGTGGCTCCTGACTGCACTGGCAGGAATATGCACAGCTTTAGCTAATTAATTGCTTCTGCAGAGCAGTAAAGTATACTTACCTAGAGTGCACTTGCAGCAGGCACTATAGAGTTATTAGAAAAGAGTTATGGATCTTGATTCATAGCTCATATATGCATATGCACATCAGAATTAGAATTTAGTCTTTATAAATAGTATGCTAATGACCTCTCAGCAATAAATGGGTCCTGAGACCATTATAAATTTGAGAACTAGAAAAGGCAGGGCTTAATTGTAAAAATAAAATTGTAACATATGATTTAGCCATATGTGTTTATATGTAAAAAGCTTGTTATTTAGAAGAGGCTTCCTTTTGCTTCTGTAACCACTCTAATAAACAGGAATGCATATGATCCTTTTAGTGCAGAGCATATTCTCAGGATACTGTCTCAAAACACATTGATGCAATTTGAAAGTATATTTCAATTTGCTGCATTTGTGTGTGTGTGTCTGTGTGTGTGTGTGTGTGTGTGTGTGTGAAAAGCAGCAGATACTCAAACTCCCAGATTGAGACTATCTTTAATGCAGTATGTTTTTATTCGTCAATCTAACGCAGCTTTCTTAGGCCAGAAGAGAATATCCTCTCTTTGGCTGACGTGTGAAATGTGACAGAGGCATCTTGTAATGGACATTTTCCAAAAGCATCACATGGTAGGTTTCTCCCTAGGTTTTAAACCTGTTTTCTTGTCTGCTACTCCGTTCCTTTTAGGCTCTTCCAAGTTCTTCTCTCTGGTGTCTGAAGCAGGCTACAGAACAGGTGGGACATTAGTGTGACAGCTGGGCACCCTTCCTAGAACAGACCCAGCATGGATAACATTATTTTTGAATTGCATATCTCTCTCATACTCAACCCTCTCTAAGAAAAACATTGGTGTGGGAAGCATGATATCTCATCACTTTGTGGAGACAGTTCTCCTACGTCTGTCTATATTTATTTCTTTTGTTCCTGCCCTTCCTTTTCACTCCACAGTATTTCCTTTTTATGACCACATTCCATTATGAGAAACCCTGATTCTCATAGCACCTCACTTGGATGGACTCATATGACAGCAGAATAAATGCCAGAAATAGAAGTCTGAGGACCAGATATCTAATTACCACATCACAATAAGAATCTCTCAAATGAAACAGAACAAAAAAAACACTTTGTACTGAAATGTATTTGTTGAGTAATTCCCACAATGAAGCTCTCAAGTTATTGTTTTTTGAATAGCAAGGCCTTAGCTTGTATTCAATTTCTCTGTGTGGTATACTGGGAAAGCATCAGCATGATAATATACTACTCCTGGTTTCAAATCTTCATTCTGCTACTGACTAGATATGTTTTGTCTTGAACATACACACACCCCAGTTATAATCCAAGAATGATGACCTTACAGGACTAATGTGTGGATTAAATTAAATCCGTCCATTTAGCAAATATGTATTGTGCACCTATTTTATGACAGGCATGTGCATGTAAGTGTTAGAGGTAGAAATGAGGAACAAAGCAAAATCTAGTGGGGAAATGGGCATACAAAGAGAGAATGATAGTAGTGTATACCCAGCACTGTTCTAAAAGCTTCACATCTACTAACTCATGTCACCCATAATACAACTTTATGAAGTCAATACTACTCTGTTTATTTTTGGAAGAACTGAGGTATGTAGAGTTTTAATAACTTAAATTTATGCAGTTAGTAAATGGAAAATCTAGGATAAAAGCCTAAGCACTACCCAACCTCTTAACCACACTATTAATAATAATAATTGTACTAGAAACAAATGAATGAGAAGGTAAAAGAAGTTTGTTACAGTAGCTCTTGAGTTAGAGAAGATGCTATAATGTATAATATACTCAGTCATTATTCATTTCAATAAATATTTGTTCCTACTTTTTAATGTCCTTGAGATCACATGTAATATTTTACATTTCAATGAAAGACATAAAATAATCTAGACAACTCTATTTCAGCCGATGATTATATGACTTTTTTTTTTTTTTTTTTGAGACAGGGTGTTACTCTGTCACCCAGGCTGAAGTGTTGTAGCACAATCATGGCTCACTGCAGCCTCCAATTTCTGGCCTCAAGTGAGCATTCCAACTCAGCCTCCTGAGTAGCTGGGGCTACAGGCATGGTTCATTTGTACATTTCATTAATGTACTCCAGGCATGTGCGTGTTCCATCTTTGCTTGTATTTTGAGGAGCTGTAAGAGAGCCTAGCCATGTCTAGCAGACCAAGTAGTTGGTGGATATGGGCAGTCTTGAAGAATCTTTTTCAGCCTAAGAAAAATGTTCTACTGCCCTCTGAGCTTCTGAATTTATTTTGAAGGATAGTTTAATTATAAAAACAGGGGAAGGGAACCAGCAACCACCATAACCACACCATTTGTCTTTTGAAGAGCAATATGCCTGGAAATCCGGCGATAAGAAAAGAAGTCCTTTCCCAAGAAGGGGCCTTCTGAGAGATGAGGAGTGGTTGATAGTGTCTCGAACACGGGTCATCTGTTTGCATCGGCCTCAGAATATCTTAGAGTAGAATCCTCGGCTGATTGGTCAGTTTTTGCTGTCGCAGGTACTCCTCAAAATATTTGAGCTCCTGTCAAACAAAGATCACAATGTTTTTTGTTTCCTTTTTAATGTCTGTTACATACAGGGATGACTACATTTTGAAAATCTCCTTGGTTATCTGTTCATTCCAGGTATTCTGAGTCACCATTCTGTGAACAGTTGCCCAACATATCATGTTTCTGTATTTTACTGCATATGGCATTTCATCTTTATCACTCAGGTTCTATTAAACTTTATTACCTTGTTTTTAACATTTTCTCTTAGAAATTGTTCACAGTCAACTCAATTCTATGGAGCAGTCGCCTAGCAAGAGTACTGCATGTGAGCATATCTTCATTAGAATTGTCAGTTAAGAATCCCTGATTTCAGTATCATACTGAGTGAGAGGCTGGTCTATTGGCTGACTTAGTTAGGACATTCATCCACTTGGGGCAGCTGGCCAGTGAGTCTGGCTACAGTCATTACTCTAATCAAGAGTACGCAAAATAAACCTGGAGTAAAATCATTCAGGAAAGCAGCCTCATTCTGTTTTTATAATTGGGTGTGAATTTTCAATTGTGTAGTCCAGAGGAGCACAGGGGGAAGACAGGCTGGAGCACAGAAGCAGCTCCTGGTGTCTAACTAGACAGGTGACCTGCAGCAAGTTTCAGAATGGGTTTGTGGCTTCCTCAGTCCCAGCTTTCCTGTGGAGAGATGGCTCAAGTATAGATGAATGAATGAGGGCCATGCATAGAAGTGATGTTGCTAATTTTACTCTCCTGCTAGCAGGCGCCACCTGCCTCAACCAAGGGAATCTCTGATGGCTACTGGAGCTCAGCAGCCAGCCTGGAGGCATCCTTCCCCTTCTGGAACTTATGCCAAATTCCAGATGGTCTCTTATAAAGGCCGACCTCAGTTTCTGTGTCAGGGTAAGCTGTGACCAGTCATGATTGTGCCTGTCATTTATGACATTTTATACTTACACTGAACATTGTCAATTCTCTGGTACAAATTGTCACAGAGCTCTGGTTTAGGAAGCAGGAGAGCTATGAATGACTTATTTTAACCTCATTAATGGGTCTCTATATACATTGTACCTTCGGCCACACCGCTGTCAGCACATATCTTTTCTTTGCAGTTAAAAGACTGCATCTTGTTTGTATCTTCTCATCTATAGTAGCTACTGCTACATTCACTGCTTTTCTTCAGCTAGGTCACTTGTGAGCTTTTGTTCTATTTGTCTTATACACATTTTAGAAAACTAATGAATCTGTTTTTGTCCAGAGCATGACTTCCAGACTATCACCTCTATTGTGGCTCTGCTTAACCTCTGACCAAGAGGCACAGGCTGTGTGTATAATTCTTTATATAATGCACTGACTTTCAACCTACCTTAATCTTCTTGAACTTGTTTTTACTCCTGCTTTATATTTCTCAAACCTGGATATATTCTTCATTCTGCATCTGGTTATACTTGGATAGAAACATTGCCAGCCAGTGTGAATTGAGTATTCCTCCCACACCTCATCCTACACTGGCATTGGCAATACCAAAAACCCTTGGCTTTTAGCTCATGGCTTTCAGTCCTGAGAGGCAGTCTTGGAGTGGATTAGACTTGGACAAGGCTTTGGAGCCATATTTCTGGGGTTTGATTTCCAGCTTTGTCCATTTATCCAATTTATTCTAATATCACGCCTAAGTTCAAACATCTTTGAATGACTCCTATTGCCCGTTAGAAGTTTCATGCAATTTCTATCAAACTACCAACATCATCTATCACATGACTAGCAAAATGATTCCAACATTCATATGGAACCAAAAAGAAGCCTGAATAACCAAAGCAATCCTAAGCAAAAAGGAACAAGTCGGAGGCATCACATTACCCTACTTCAAATCATACCGTAAAACTACAGTAACCAAACAGCATGGCACCGGTACAGAAACAGCATAGTACTGGCACAAGAACAGGTTGGAAGTTAATGCATTGTATAAAGAATTATACACACTGCCTGTGCCTCATGGGTAGGGCTGAGCACAGTCAGAATAGAGGTGATAGGCTGGAAGTCATGCTCTGGACAAAGATAAATTTATTCATTTTCTAAAATGTGTAAAAGATCAATAGAACAAAAGCTCACAAGTGGCCTAGTGGAAGAAAGGCAGCAGTGGAACAGAAGAGAGAACCCAGTAATAAAGCCATAAACCTACAGACCTCTGATCTTCGAGAAAGTTGACAAAAATAAGCCATGGGGAAAGGACTTCCTATTCAATAATTTTTAATAAATGGTGCCGGGAAAACTGGCTAGCCATGTGCAAAAGAATAAAACTGAACTCATGCTTTTCACCATATACAAAAATTAATTTAAAATGGATTAAAGATTTAAATGTAAGATCTCAAACTATATGAATCTTAGCAGAAAACCCAGGAAACATAATTCTAGACATCAGATTTGGGAAATAATTTATTACTAAGTCCTCAAGAGCAATTGCAACAAAAACAAAAATTGACAAGTGGGACCTAATTAAACTAAAGAGCTTCTCCACAGCATAAGAAACTATCAACAGAGTAAACAGTCTACAGAATGGGAGAAAATATTCACAAACTATGCTTTCAACAAAGGTCTAACATCCAGAATCTGTAAGGAACTTAAACAATTTAACAAGTCAAAACAAAATAACCCACTTAAAAATGGGCAAAACAAATGGACAGACATTTCTCAAAAGAATATATACTAGCAGCCAACAAATATATGAGAAAATGCTCAACATTACTAATCATTAGAGCAATACAAATCCAAAGCACAATGAGATACCATCTCACACCAGTCAGAATGGTTATTATTAAAAAGTCAAAAAACAATAGATGTTGGTTATGCTACAGAGGAAAGAAAATACATATACATTGTTGGTGGGAATGTAGATTAGTTCAGCCATGTTGAAAGCAGTTGAGAGATTTCTCAAAGAACTTAAAAAACAATTACCATTCCACCTAGCAATACTATTATTAGATGTATATCTGAAAGAAAATAAATCTTTCTACCAAAAAGACACATGCACTGATATGTTCATTGCAGCACAATTTACAATAGCAAAAACATGGAATCAACCTAGGTGCCCATCAAC